TCAGAAGGCTTCCAGAATTAGATGTTGACTTCATTTCCTTGGCTGAGGAGCAGGAGCAGGCTTTCTGTTATTTAATATGTCTGTAAGGCCTGAATGTGGTCCTCTCTCTCTACCACCTGGAGGTGAGTGACCTACAGATATTCAGGGTCACAGGAAGCATGGGTCTGTGCAAGTTAGAGAGAAACTAGTCTTGGCTGTGGTGGCCAAAGCACGGTCCACATACAAGATGCTGTTCCTTTTCACACATAGATAGGGAATGCTTTCCTCCTAAGCACCTCCATACAAAGAGAATGAAGTTCCATTTTCTAGGTATCTGTGGACCTGACTACAAGAAGCCTGAGAGAAAAGTGCAAAGTGCTCATAACCCCACAGATTGTTTAGAAATTCAAGCATCCACATGATTACGTTTTTATACTGAAACCAGAGATTTGGTATGATAAGGACTCACAATTTGTAACATACTATGTGTGTGTGTGTGCATACAGACACACAGTTTTCTAGTTATTCATGTATTTCCTTGAAGATAGAGCATCTCACATTTTTATGCCAGCTGTAAGCTTTTGGAGGTAAGTTCTTCGTATCTCCAGGTTAGTCCAGGCCTTTTTATTTGCTGTTGCTGTTTGTTGGTATCACATCCTGAATCTGTGTACTGATTAGATGCTTGAGCATTACAAGAGTAAAACATACCTTGTTCTCAATAAGTGCCCAGAGGGAGAGTTGTCATAACAAGTCTTCTTACTGCCAGTAAAGAAGCTATGTGACTGCACACGGGTCTCCTCTTGGGCCTGACTTTTAACTTGATTTGTAGAGGTTGGTTAGAGGGTTATAAAGTTTTCTTTTAAAGCAAAGGAATCTATGATTCAAGTAAGTTTGTTGTTTTTTTTTTTTTTTTTTTTTTACATAAACACTATACTGCTTTTCCTCATTAGGGATAGCATGATGTGTGTCATCAGCATATCTGGGGTATGTATTTATAGACTGATTCATGTCCAAGTTGAGAAGAATGTCAAGGATCTCAATACAAGAATATGTCTGTGTTAAGGTTTGTTTTTGTTTTCTTTTACTTGTTCCCTTTTAAGGAATTTAGTCCATTAAGATATGTCATGCTCAACGAGCATGTTCATTCTTTTAGACAGATACTTAAAGAAGAGGACTTTATTTGATACCTTTATTTATATGCAAAACAGCGCACCATTCATGAGATATGAAAAACTCGTCAGATAGAAACCAGATTATATCTATTTTCACTACAAAATATTGCATTATATAAAGCAACAGAGACACAAAAAAACCCTGAAAAAGACTAAAATCTTTGGATAGCAGATGTGGTTTTTTTTTTTTTCCCCCCTTGTTTCTAAAATACACTCCTTGCTTGAAGAGTTTCATAGCTGAGAACATGAAACATTTTCAGGTTATAGACTTTTCTTTTTGGTTGTCACAGAGGAAAGTAGTTCTGAATTCTTTTTTTCTTTTTTTTTTAGGAAAATAACTTAATTTCCTAAAATCATCCCACGCACAAACATCACACACACACACATACAAAGAAGCTACTCTCCTTATAAACAATTTGTAAAGTACTTTTTAGACATAACTACAGATAAGAATAACAACACTTATTTTTTTAAAAAACTATAATAGTGAAGTGCTAGTGTTGCTGATCTCACAACAAAAGAACCTTTCAGGAACAAACATCTTAATATATAAAATATGTTTAGAAACAGAGAAGCAGGAAATTTCTTATACAAGTGCAATATAATTAGAGCAAAAAGAAAGACCACAGTATAATCTCAACAAACACATAAAGATTTAGACATAATTATTCCACAGGAAAAGTGTAAACACTTGACTATAAATAAATTGGCACAGAGTATCCAAAGTAAAATTATCACCACTCTGAAAAATAAATGTCTTGAAAAAAATACTCTACTCCTTCTAAAATAAATAAAATAGGTCTTCTTCTAACTGCACCTATGGGTCCACATGTTTAAGGTCACAAATAGATGTTTTTGGATATATAAAGGGGCACTTCACCTGAAAGAGCAATCAGATATTAAATTTTCCACTTAAATATGCTTTTATCTGTCTAGATCAGTGTCCTATCTTGGGGTTAAAATCTCACCCAGCTCAAATCCTCCCACAATGTGTCTATTCTCAATATCTTTTAAACCTTACCAAATATTCAGGGTTTGTTTTGTTTGGACTCTAATATACAATCTTTCTTCTGACAAAGAAACACAAAGTTTCCTGTTCCATCGTTCTGCGCCTTAATCTCCGGAAGGAGTTCTTCCTCTCCCCTTTCCCAATGTTTGCTGATCTGTCAATTAGAGAAATTCCAGATAGTCTAGAGTTATGAATCTGTACTCTGAATCTTCTGCCCTCAATTCTTTCAAAAATGAAGATGTGTGGGAGATAAATATAGGAGAACCCGGTCTCCAGGGGGTTAAAGCAACAACCCTTGTGAGGATCCTAATACGCCTGGGGGACGCACCAGGTCGCCTCGGTTGGGTGCCCCCAGAAGGCTCTTCTGGCCTGGAAAACACCCCTCTTGGAGCCCCTGGGCTCCCAGCCAACCCCACCTCCCGGCCTCTGAAACCTTTCCCTGTCGCCCCGCTGACCAGAGAGAACAGGCTGCGAGCTTCTTGCTGGTCCCAGAGTCCGGGGGCGGCCGTCCCGCCGGCCGCCGCCGCCTTGGCCCCCTCCGCGGCAGCCGCCCGGGTCGCTGGCGTCTCCGGGACACCGGACGGGCGGCCCCGCGCGGCCCCGCCCCTCCCGCCTACACGTCCAGGACGTGGTTGAGATAGGAGATGTAGCAGATGGCCAGGCGCAGGATCTCGATCTTGGAGAGCTTCTTGTCCGGGGGCAGCGTGGGCAGCAGTTTGCGGAGCTCGGCGAAGGCCAGGTTGAAGGCCTCCACGCGGATGCGCTCGCGGGTGGCGTGCGCAGAGCGGTACTTGGCCGTGGCGCGCCGGCGGCGCCGCTTCTCCTCGCGGCTCAGCTGCTGCGGGTGCGGGTAGAGCGCGGCGCGGCTGCCGCCCTTGCCGTCGCCCTCGGCTTCCTCCACCGGCTCCAGGTCCGACACGCTGCCCAGAACCTTGGCTTCCGCGCCGCCCAGCGACTCCGGGTCCGAGTGCGCCGAGCTGGGGTGGTCCGAGTCCGCGGCTTGGTCCGGACTCAGCATCATTTTGGAGGCTGAGAGGGAATCAGAAAATCAGTCAATAAAAAGCGCGAGGGTCTTCTTTTCCTGCAAGGCTGGCAGGCCAGGGTCTGCCACACGGCCCCCAGGCACGGCCGTGCGCCCCGCGCCCCTCCCCAGCCCAGCCCCACGCGTCTCGAGGGAGGGCGCGAAGCCCGCGCCTCCGCATCCCCACGGCGCGGGAGCTGGCGAGGTCGCCCACGCTTCTGCCTGCAAGAGAACCAGAGGGCCGGTGGCCCTGGGCCTGGGAAACCAGCTCAGGCCTGCAGATTTCTGTGCCTCCTCTAGGCAAACATCAAGCGCGCTTTTCCAGTTGCCTCCCTTGGTCCCTTTCCTAGACTGACGAATGAACCCAAAAGACGAACACAAAAGAGTTCTGCTGGGCCGGGGAGACGCCGTGTGTGCTTCCGGGCCCAGGCGCCTGGGACGCAGCAGTCGGGGAGCCTGGGGCTGCGCTGGGGCAGCCCTGCGCTGGGGTGCGGGCAGACCGGCCCATCCCTGAGCGCAGGCGGCCGGGGGCAGGAAGGTTTCCTCGTTCCCCTCACTGTTCTCCGAAATAATGACTGAACAAACGTGCAGACACTTTTCAAAAGAAAATTGACTCCTGCGCCCTCGCACGCTCCCGGAGCACCATCTGTCACGCACACAGCCACACGCCTCGGGGACCTAGGGACGCGGAGATGTGGAATACACAATGCCCCGCAGCCTGCCGACCGCTCACAAGATATTGCTGGCGGCCAGGTCGCTGCGGGAGGACAGGGAGAGGGCAGGGAAGGCAGGAGCGGGCGCCTTGCTGGATGCCCCGACGCAAGCTGAGGCCCCGCAGCAAAGTTCGGGCGCTCCCGGGACCCGGCTCTGCAGCGCGCAGCTGTTCCCAGGAGGCCTCGCCAAGGCCGCGTCTGTGCCGGGCTTTCCTCCGGCCATTCCCTCCTGGAAAGGCCATCTCTCCGGCTTCCCGCGGTCCCCTGTTGCGCGCCTTCTGGGAGGGTGACTGTCGGAACCGCCGGGCTTCGAGGGAATTCGGGTTTCACGAAAGGGGCCAGGAAGGGAGGAAAGGCACTGGCCAGACTGCGAGCCCCGGGAGGGACCGCCGGGCTGCGAACTCCTGGCCCAGTGGGTCTCTCCCAGGCGACGCCCGGCGCTGGAGAAACCCACGTAGGAGACTTGTCCAGTAGGTGGGTTTGCTCCTAGAGAAACAAAAGCCTGGGATGCCTGGGATCGGGTCCCAGCATCGCTTCTGAGCAAACTGGGCTGCAAAACAGCTTTCCTTTCGGGCAAGGAAAACAGGTCCTCTAAAGCGAAATAAAAACAGACGCTTCAGGTGAACTACATGTGACTCCCTGTGGGCTTTTCTCTGGTACGCCTAGAAGTAAACCAACTTGCACCTACACAGTCGGCTTGAAAGGGAACAGACATATAGAGGAGATATGGAAAATCACAAAAGCCACGACATAGTTATAGTTTGTACAAAACTTCCTGGGTTCCCCTCCAAGCATGTTAAATTCTCTTCCAGATATCTTTAAAAGCATTCATAAATAGCATGCTGTATATGCATTTTATTTCTTTAACTATAGAGTGCAATGAATCTATAAATGTAATATGAATCAACTTAGTTTCAAGCCGAACAAATGATTTAAAGGAATCTTACCTTGCAAAAGCCCTTTCGACAATCTTTTCTCCAATCTTTTAGAGTTAAAATTCCAGAGAATAGCGAGGGGAAAATTCCGGAAAAATATTAAAAGCAGCAACTGTTTATTACATTCAAAAATGAAAAAGCAGCTGTCATCGCGCCGGTGCCCACAGAAAAGGACGGTATCTCAGGATGAGGGTGATTGTTCGCTTCGCTGGTAGATCAAAAACGCCTTTTCCTTTTAATTGTTCTCAAACATTTTGAAAAATTCGTTTTTTCAAAATGATGTGTTGAAAAGTCTCCTGCTTTTTCCCCGCTTCCTATGGCTCTATAAATAACAAAAGAGATGCAGAGATAGACACAATCACATCAAAGAGCTGATTCCTCCACTTTCTAATAGCGGAATAATCAATAAGAAAGATGGTTAAGATAAGATTCCGCTCCTGCAGGGTTCCTTTCCTCCCTTATGAGGGCTGAACAGAAGCTGAGAAGTGCAGGACAGAGATGCGATCTTGCTCAGAAGTGATTTTTTTCCCGAGATAAGGCTTTGTTTAGCTGATGTCTCCCCAGCTCCCAGGAACACAATACTGTAACTCGGAGCTAAGGTTGCCTCTTCTTGGTCCCTTATTTACTTGTATGTTTTATAAACAGGCACCTGTTTTCCAGCTTCAAAGTCTTTAAAGGTTTGATCACACCTCCCACCCCATCCCCTCTCTCTTTACCTTGTAGCAAAATATGTACAGTCAGTGGCTTGGAGATGCTTGGAGAAAGGGTGGTGGAAAGGGAACGTCTCCTGGAGTAACAGTGACAGGGAAGCAGAGAAAGACTGGAAGAGGGTGGCAGAGCCAGAGCATAGATGGAGAGCTGTGTGTGGCTTCTTGGCTCTCCTGGTACCAACTGATGCAGCCTGGAGATGGTGGAAGAGATAAAGGCTTAAGAAGGGGGATGGAATTTTTCCCTCTAAATTGATATTTAATGGGAAATCCTATTGGACAGAAACCTGGACATGAGTCACTTAATTGGACTTGACATCTGTCACAGTGTGGGAGTTTTCACAGCCCAAATATTTTAGTAGATCAGATTCCCACTGAATCTGTGCCATAAAATATAACAGTTGAATGCAGTCCATGATGGAAATCATAGCTTCTAAACAGTCTGTAGACGTAATCAGGCTATTTCTTGTTTTCAGATTATTGATGCAATATTTAAATGCAAATAACAATATATTGACTATGGAACAATTTCTCTGGCATATTACAAAATCAGCATCTTTCCTTAATATTTAGGAAATGTTTGTGTCCAGCGCATGGAAATATATATTGGATGGATGCTACAGTATAAAGTATTTAGATATGCAACATCGTTAGAAATCATTTACATTTTTAAAAATGTATTTCACCAAGGTTGATTAATCATACTGATATTTTTGAAAAATATTCTGCTATGAGACTAACTTCTCAATCGATCATTTTTAAAAAGACACTTTTCAAAAGAATAATTAAAGTCATTGGTGGAACCAGGAACAAAACCCAGGTATTCAGGGGCCATTAAATGAGACAGTTTTACTTTTCTGACTGTGTCTGTTTTTCTCTTCACTATTCATTCATTCAACTTAAAATCTGACAGACTACATGTGTTAATTACTGCAGTTTATTCCTGCCCATCTTAACACGTGAATACATTTGGTGATGTGGCAGTGCTCTGGGCTAGGATGTAAACACATGAAAATCTCCAGTGTCTTCTGGCCCATAATGTCTGTATCAGTACGTAATGTCTATACCTTATACACCCTCATGGCCCCTGAATTTATATGCTTCAAAACAAATAGCAAACTTGAATTTGGTTATTTTGCCCCTTAATAGAAATACTGTTAGTCACTATCAATTTCACAGTATTTGCTGTCAATTACATATCATCAATTACACCATTTATTATTTGTGATCATTTTAGCTTTCTACATTGCTCAGACATGTGACAGCCTTATTCCCCACCTCTCCAACCCCTGAAAGAACATTTATGGAAGAGTTCTCACTTTCATCGATTTATCAGTTTGTGACCATTTTAGCTTTTTCCGCTGGTCAAGCTTAAATGAAGTAAGAGTATTACAGTCTTACTCTCCACCTCTCCAAACTGTAAAAATACATTTATAGAAAAGTTTTCACTTTCCCTGCTTTATGAGTTTTGTCTGCCCCTGAGACTGACCCTCTGGGATCCTCATGGCCGCTTGAAGCACTGGCTTTGCACACACTTTTTCCTCCACATTTGTAGACCAGAATGGGACAGAGATAGGAGAGAGGAGAGAGTGCCTTCAAGGAAAAAAGAGCACCAAAACTGCTTAGCCTTGCTTCTCTGGAGCCCCAACACAAGCACGTATTTTAGATATCCCCAGGCCAGTGCAGTGCAGGCAGAAGCCATACTTACACAGGTGGCAATGGGAACAGGTGAGAGGACAGACTCCCTAAGATGGTGAAGATGCAGGGAGAAGGGAGGTTTCCCGGTGTGGCTAGGAGCAGCCAACATGAAGCATTAACACTCGGCCGGAAATGTGCCCACAGATGTAGGCGCACAGATACCTGCACATCCTTACCCTTCTGTACTCACAGAAGCTGGCTGGCTCTAGCAAACTGCTACACGTTCACACTGATGGATTGAACACCCGGGTAGATCTAATCATCTTAGCTCGAGAGGGGGCAGCTACTACGGCAGGAAGGAACCAGTGTAGGGGAATTGGTGGGGAGGAACAGGCATATCAGGGCCAGCCCAATTTTGCTGTGGTGTCTGTGAACCCAGAGAAACTCTCTTTTCTGTCAGACTTACACATTGCATGCTGACAGTTACATATTACATGAGTAAGCCCATGTACATCCTCATTTAAGTCCATACATAGCCATGCCTAACACACCATCCTAGGCACAAACCTGGATTCACACACATGTTCTATCTTCCAGAAAAGCCTCCCTCTCTCCTGCCACCCTTGCCTTTTCTAAGACATCCCTGGCACAGATGGCCCTCCATAAGCAGCCCTCTCCCATCTGCTTTCAAGACCATATTGTGATCTGTGATTCTTGGTTTCCGTATCTGTCTCTCTCATTAGGCTGTGACACTTCTAGGAAAAGTCTGTAGCTTATATCCCCAGTTCTGAGATCTGAGCTTGACATATAAGCATTTGGTTCATTTATGTTGACTGATTCTGTACATTAGAGGTACCCAGAATATTTGTAATAAAGAAATACTTCGACAAATGACACCCACAATTACATCTGGATGTATTATCTCTCCTATAAAATTGATGATAATAACACTGACCTCTCACCGCAAGCTTGCTTTGAGGCTCAATGGATGTGAAAGTATTTGACAAAATGCTAAGCATCATACAAAGTAAGATATCATGGAATACAGGAGTAATGTTAAATAATGTTATTAAATCAACAACACAGTGGTGATATGCAGTAATTTAAAAAGCTAGCCTTCCTGTCTCACTTACTACCTGTATGAACTTAGACTAGCCATATTACTTAGCTTTTCTGGACCTCAGTTTTCTAATCTCTAAAATGAGAATAAAAAAATATGGTATACTATATGATTTACTAAAACTGAACAAAGATATATATCTATATAATGGCATATACATGGCACTTAAATAAATGCCTAGAAATCACAAACATTGGCTACAAATATTGAATATTGTTATTATTCAATATAAATGATAATGAGAAGCTGATATATACTTACAAAGAAATATAAACATATCCAAATATACACATCTACCACCTAGATTGTGTGTGGTAACTACCACATCCACAGTGCTGGTAACTACCCTACAGCGAGTACCGTACGGGTGTTAGGCAATAAATGTAGGAACTTTTCACCTCTGAATTCATTTAATCTTTATCGAAAACCTACAGTGGTAGGTTCTGCTGTTGACCCTATTTTGCATATGAGGAAACTGGGGCACGGAAAAGATGCTGGTGATTGAAGGTCACATAGCTAATAAATCACAGGGCCAAGATTTAGACTCAAATAATCTAAATTTTGAAATTATACTCTCCACCACTGTGCACTGCTCTGTGATCATTGTGCCTACACAATTACATTCATGCAGAAGAATTACTCACCAAGTGGTTATTTAGAGGGAGAGATGTACGCACACAAAAAACTTAGATTCATCACCATTTTTGTGTTGAGGGGTGGTCAGTGAGTTTTAAATACTTCCTGTGTATCTAGTACTGTGCCAGACAGTTGGACTGTCTTCATAATTATAGATAGCTCCCTTAGACAGTTATTTCCAATATATTTTCTTAAATTTCCCACCCTATCAGTGCAAGTTTGAGTATTCATATCCTGTCAATGTATATATTAGTTATTAATAAACTTTATATATGTACTGCTATGCTTGCCTACTATACAGTTATAAACACAAGCCATTTTAAAGTGATGATAAACATAAAACTAATATTTATGAAATTAATTTTGTTTATTAACAATATAACAACTTATTACCAGCACAGGATATTATTGGTAATGTATATTTTTTGACTATGGGTATCATTTTATTAGTCATTATTTAACCCTTTGTAATAACATGATTTGATGGCCTGGTTTTAAGCCAAGTTTATTTAGAATCTGGTTTTCATGGCTAAGATAGCAGAGAAAGATGTATTGCAAAAAATCAAATGTTATCACTAATGAAATATCCTACAACTGGACTTTGGTGATGTCATAACTCTCTAAATATACTTAAAAATAACTGACTTACATACTTTAACTATGTCGTATTATTATGTCTCCATGAAGTTGGTACAAAAAGCCAGAAAACTAAGCATGTCATATTTATACCACAATCTATTTTTCCAAATACTCTACATTTTTACCTATTAAATATTTTCTTGATTTTACTAAACTTGGTTTTAAATGTTAAGGAGTTTACATTTTGTTTCTTATTGGCTTGATTCTTTCTTTTTTCAGGTTTGCTTTCATTAAAGGAATTGATTACTATTAGGATAACTTTGAAAACTAGCTGTCCATGTAACTTGACTAGTGCAGGGAGCAATACAAGTGAAGTGTGAAGGTGTATACAGTACAATCTCTTAGTTCATTCTATACCTCTCTGTGGTCCATTCCTTGTGCACACAGGCTGAGATCTATAAGGTAGGTAATCATTCCCAATTTTTAAAAAGCCATAGAAAAATTCCAATTTATTTTATATAAGCCCAAAGTTTAAAGGTACCAACAGAAATATATTGTTGATTATGTTAACTACATCACGATTCTCATTTTTCTTAGCTTAGTCACAAATACGCCAAACTTTTGTTGAATTTAGGTAGCAAGTTTCCTTCTAATATGAATGATCTATTTTTCTACAAGTGGTGGTAAAACCTTGCAATTTGATTTGGAAACTTTTCCTTTTTAATACTGGGAATTGAAGCCAGATCTTCTTACTATGCTACAGCCCCCGTTCTTTATTATTTTTAAAGTTTTGAGATAAGTTCTTCCTAAATTGCTAAATCATCCAGGCTGAGCTTAAACTTGTCATCCTCCTGCCCTAGCCACCCAAAGTGCCAAGATTAAGCTGTGCACCACCACACTTGGCTGGTATCATCACAATCGGCTGGCAGGCCAATTTTTTTTTTCAACAATTTATAAATTTATGTGTCTAAGTGTTTTCAGTGTTCAGATGTAGGAGATGCTAATACATAGCACATTTCCATTATGTGAGGTAATAAAAGTCAAGTAACAGTAGAATAATTTCCAAATATCTCTTTTCAAAATGCCTTTATTATAGCATAAATTTCTTTTTACAAAGTTGCCATTTAAACCATTTTAAAAATAAAGTTAAGTACACACATTGGGTGTGTCTTGGTTACTTTTCTCTCATTGCTGAGACAAAATACCCAATTACC